CCGTGCGGGTGAAGAGTGTGGTGGTCCGCACCCCACCCAGCGCTCCTTTGGCCGCCTGACTGACGCTTGGCGCCGCCAGTTTCCTGACGCCACTGAGATCCCTCGCTGGGACCAGCTGTCTAGGGAAGGAGTAGCTATCTTTGATCTTGACTTTGATGCTATTCTTCGTGCCATGTATGCTGTGACTATTAGTGAGGAGGGTGATTGTTACCGGTGTTTCCCGCCCGACCTGGGCATTGGTACTACTGCTCTAGGTGCTGTTGAGACTGCTGCTCCAGGTGCTGGTGAGGCTGTTGCTCTAGGTGCCAGTGAGTCTGCGTCCTCAGGTGCTGGTGAGTCTGCTCTCTCAGGTACCGTGTCGGCTCCGGCCTCCCTCACCTTCACCCTTGACTCGGGGGCGTCTCGCTCCTTCTTTCGAGATCGCACCACACTCACGCCGCTTAGTCGGCCGGTTGCAGTCTCCCTGGCTGACCCCTCTGGGGGTCCTGTTCTGGCTCACTACTCCACTGTCCTTCTGTGCCCTGCGGTTCCCTCCGGCTCCCTGTCGGGTCTGTACCTCCCCTCGTTCTCTACGAACTTGGTGGCGGGTGCTGACCTACAGGATGGGGGGGTTGACCAGTTCACCCCTGCGCGCCGACGGGACACCCACTGCACGGACGCGGACACGTGCCGACACTTGGCCACGTTTACTCGTCGGCCGGGGTGGAGCCTGTACACACTCACTACCACGTCTCCTGCGTGAGGTCAGGTGTTTGCTGCAGCGTCCAGGTCTGGTCCTGAGTCTACCCCCTGCTCGTGTCGCCTCCTATCTCACGAGACCCTCCTCTGGCACCACCGCCTGGGTCACCCCTCCCTGCTTTGTCTCCGAAGCATGGCCTCCCATCTCCTTGTCTCTGGTCTTCCCCGGTCCCTCCCTCCCCTTACTCCGGGGCCTGGCCCTCCCTGTGTCCCGTGTATCGAGGGACGCCTCCGAGCTACCCCTCACTCCTCCTCATTTCCTCCGACGGAGGCCCCGCTGCAGGCGCTTCACATGGACGTGTGGGGCCCAGCCCGCGTCCGTGGGCAGGGTTACGAGCGTTACTTCACACTCGGTTGACGACTACTCGCGTTACACCACAGTCTTCCCCTTGCGCAGCAAGGGCGATGTCACTGAGGTGTTGATCGACTGGATCCGCGCAGCTCGTCTCCAGCTCAGGAAGACCTTCGGCTCGGACTTTCCTGTTCTGCATCTGCACTCGGACAGAGGCGGAGAGTTCTCCTCTGGCCTTCTGCGAGCCTACTGTCGTGCACAAGGCTTCCGCCAGACCTTCACGCTTCCGGACTCTCCACAGAAGAATGGGATTGCTGAGCGCCGCATTGGCATGGTCATGGACGTCGCCCGTACGTCCATGATGCATGCGGCTGCCCTCCATTTTCTGTGGTCGTTTGCGGTTCGGTACGCGGCGCATCAGATCAACCTTCAGCCCAGGGTCTCCATGCCGGAGACCTCCCCAGCTCTGCTGTGGACGGGGAAGGTTGGCGATGCGTCGGCGTTCCGTGTCTGGGGATCTCGGGCGTTTGTTCGCGACTTGTCCGCGGACAAGCTGTCCTCTCGTGCTGCTCCTTGCGTCTTTCTGGGTTTCCCCCCTGACGCACCTGGGTGGCAGTTCTACCACCCCACCTCTCGCCGTGTTTTGTCCTCCCAGGACGTCACGTTCGACGAGTCGGTCCCCTACTACCGGCTCTTCCCCTACCGCACTCCGTCCCTCCCCTCGCCCCCGCTCTTCCTTGTCCCAGGTCCCCCCCCGGTAGACCCCCTTCCCCCTCAGGGTCCTGCCCCTTCAGGTGTGTCCCAGGTAGACGCTGCTGAGCCTGTTGAGGTCACTGGTGACTCTGGTGCTGCTGAGGGTGCTGTGCCTCGGGGTGCGGAGCCTGGGGGTGCGGAGCCTGGGGGTGCTGAGCCTGGGGGTGCTACGTCTGGGGGTGCTGAGCCTGGGGGTGCGGAGTCTGGGGGTGCTGAGCCTGTGGGTGCGGAGTCTAAGGGTGCTGAGCCTGCTGCTGCTGTTCTTGGTGGTTCTCCGGACCTTTCTTCTCGCCGCGAGCCGCTCTCTCCGCTGGAGCTGCGTGAGTGGTTTGCCCGGCGTTGGAGGCAAGCTGCTGGAGCTGGGGGTGCTGCGGGTACTGGAGGTTCTGTTGCTGCTGAGGGAGCTGGTGCCACGGGTCCCGGAGGTGCTTGTACTGAGAGTACTGGAGCTGCCGGGCCCGGGGGTGCCTCTGGAGCTGGAGCTGCTACGGGTGCTGGCGCGGAGTCTACGACTGTTGGTCCTGAAGGCAGTCCTGCTGGGGGTGCCTCTGGAGCTGGAGCTGCTGCGGGTGCTGGCGCTGAGTCTACGGCTGTCGGTCCTACTGAGGGTGCTCCTCGCGCTGCTGGAGGTGCTGGAGTTGGAGCTGCTACTAGTTGCTGAGCTGGTCTACTTTGCTGCTGCGTGTCGTCTAGACTAGGTGCCAGTCTTGTTGCTGAGTCTGAGTCTGCTGAGTCTGCGTCTGTCTGTCCTCCGTCCGTCGGGGGTGAGTGTGCTCTTGGCACGGACGTTCTTGAGGACAGGTAGGAGGAGTTCCAGTGCTTTGCTGCCGCTTTGCCCCATCTCGTGTCCATGCTTGTTGCCCCTGAGGGAGACCCGGATGCTCTTGACATCCCGACCCCACGCTCTTACGCAGAGGCGATGGCCGGTCCCAACTCCTCTCAGTGGTAGTCAGCCATGGACGCAGAGATGGCTTCCTGGAAGTCCACAGGCACCTACGTCGACGAGGTTCCCCCACCTGGGGCGAACATCGTCAGTGGCATGTGGATTTTCAGGGTGAAGCGGCCGCCGGGTTCTCCGCCGGTCTTCAAGGCGCGGTACGTGGCTCGTGGCTTCAGTCAGCGGCAGGGAGTTGACTTCTTCCAGACCTTCTCCCCGACCCTGAAGATGACCACTCTTCGGGTTCTGCTGCACGTCGCTGCTCAGCGTGACTACGAGCTACACTCTCTTGACTTCAGCACTGCTTTCTTGCAGGGCCGCCTGCACGAGGAGATCTGGCTGCGCCGCCCTCCTGGCTTCGCTGGGTCGTTCCCTCCTGGTACCCAGTGGAGCCTCCGGCGGCCAGTCTACGGTCTCCGCCAGGCGCCACGTGAGTGGCACGACACACTGAGGACTACACTTGCGGCTCTTGGGTTCGCTCCTTCTACTGCTGACCCGTCGCTGTTTCTACGCACCGACACCTCGTTGCCGCCGTTCTACATCCTCGTGTACGTTGACGACTTGGTCTTTGCCACTGCAGACACTGCCGCACTCGCCCACGTGAAGTCCAAGCTGCAGAAGAGACACACGTGCACAGACCTGGGTGAACTGACAAGCTATCTTGGCTTGCGGATTACCCGGGACAGAGCACGCCGCACCATTACCCTGACTCAGTCACACATGGTGCAGCAGGTCCTTCAGCGCTTCGGCTTCACGTACTCCTCGCCTCAGTCCACTCCTCTGCCTACGGAACACTCGCTCTCAGCTCTGCCTTCGGATGAGTCCGTAGAGTCGAGTGGCCCGTATCCAGAGCTTGTGGGCTGCCTCATGTACCTGATGACCTGCACTCGACCTGACCTCGCATACCCTCTCAGCATCTTAGCACGCTATGTTGCTCCCGGCCGTCACCAGAAGGAGCACATGGATGCAGCTAAGAGGGTGTTGCGCTACTTGTGCAGTACGTCGGGCATGGGGCTAGTGCTTGGAGGGCAAGACCGGCCTGTTCTCACTGGGCACTCAGACGCTTCTTGGGCTGACGACCAGGCTACGCAGCGGTCGTCTCATGGTTACACCTTCAGTCTTGGCTCTGGCTCTGTCTCTTGGCGCTCTACTCGCTCTTCTGCTGTTCTTAGCTCCAGTTGTGAGGCTGAGATCTACGCCACGGCCATGGCTGCCCAGGAGCTTCGCTGGCTCACCTACCTGCTGACTGACCTTGGAGAGCGGCCTCGTTCTCCTCCAGTGCTGTACGTCGACAACAAGGCAGCCATTGCTTTGTGTGAGGAGCACAGACTGGAGCACAGGACGAAGCACATTGCTCTGCGCTACTTTCTTGCTCGAGAGCTGCAGCAGCGCGGTCAGCTTCGTCTGCGTCACGTGGCCACTGAGGCCAACACTGCTGATGTGTTCACCAAGGCACTTCCGCCTTGTGACCATCAGCGCTTTTGCACTTTGCTAGGTCTTGTACCCACTGGGCCTCACTTGCTTACCTCTTGACCTTATCTGTACTGCTGCATATATATATACCTGCTCTTGCTCGTTTAGCACTGTTATATATATGCTCTGCTGCATGTGAACTGGCCTTGTGGCCTTGAACTTGTGCTCGGAATTTGTGTGGTATCCTTGAGATCCACCCTGAGCTTGCTTTGCTTTGCTTGACTGGTCTTGTGACCCCTTGTTCTTCCCCACTTTGCCTATGGGGGTGTGTCAGATTATTATGTAGCTGATGCATGTTTGTAGGCTGTAGTGGGGTAGCCCATAGGGGGTACAACCCAATTAGGGTTGGTACTTGTACTGTTTTTCTTTCATAGTTCATCCATTCCTCGCTACTGATTCTGAGATGAAGCTGGTCAACCTCAACGAGGAGCAGATTCGGTGAGCAATTTGTCGTGGTAGATGTCAAGCACATTCCACTCATCGTTCAGTTCATAACCGAAACCTCTAACGAGTCGTGGACGATCATCGTCGCTTCGTGCCATTGCTTAGCGTATAACGCCTGCCTACTGTCTGTGCAGAACCGGTGCGGATCAGCACCGTGGGTCTCTCGACGACTGCTTCAACGTGGATCAGTACAAGGAGCTGCATCACAACATTCTTCGAGAAAAGACTTTTAAGATCTACGAGCGGAGCAAGGATTTTCCATCGCAGGCGCTGTGGAGGGTTCTCGCCGCAAAGGTCATGATTCAGCTGGCACACCAGGTTCTGGGAAGGGGGGTCTCTATTCGCAAAATCCGATTCGCCAACATGTTCATCCGCATGTGCCGGAGCAGCACCCGCGTAAAAGGCAAGATGGACCTTCCTGTGCTCGTCATTGCTTCGAGGAAAACAAAGACCAATCTTTCCAATAACCTGACACATCAGTATCTGGCGAGGCACATCGACTGGCAGCTCTGCGGCGTTGGCGGGGTTTTCTTGTGGATTCATTGGCTATACGATCTCGTCCCGATTAGATACGGCCCTGGAGTGGTACCTCGCCTCAACTTTCGGAAGCCGCGTAAGTGGACCAAGAAGCACCTATTCTTTGGCATAAGGAAGCCGAAAGACCCTCCTCCACAGCCGCAAGACGAGATGAAGTACGTGACTCACAACAACTGGATCCGCTGGGTCATGAAACAGGCAGGTTGGATGTTAAGCAAGGTGACCCACATTTTCAGACGATCGGGGGCGCAGGGGCTGAGCGACGACCGTTGCGCCGATGCAGACATTGGCGCTCTAGGTGGGTGGGAGCAGGGCGAGATGCGGAAGGCATACATTATTGGAATCCCTTTTCATCCGATGCTCATGATGGCTGGATTCACCGGAACTCCGGGGGATTACTACATCGGCAGAGCACACGCTGTTCTCCCAGTCAAAAAGGAGTGGAAAAAGCTGAAGAAGCTTTTCAGAAAGCACATCTTCCCCTGGGCCGAGAAGCAGTTGAAAAAGGTAAATTTGTGGGCTTGAATTCACCAGTTGGGAGCAGATGAGGTATTCAATCATAGCATCTCTTCGACTTTGCAACCGTCCCTCATCACCAGGTCGATGAGTACAACCGTCCCAGGACCTCCTACAAGCAGCATCACTCTGGGCGGAGGTTTTTGGAGTGCCTCATCAACTGCGGTCGGGACGTGGTTGCGCAAGACCTTGCAATGATGTGGATCCACTGTCGCGAGCACGAGTTCGACCCAAATGAACCACGATGCGACTGCCCGCGACACCCATATGTGCAAATAAGCCGTCTCTGCCAAGAGCCCTTGTTTCAAAAGTGGGCCAAGATTGTTGCAGCCATGGACAAAAACGGTCAGGACATGAGGGAGAACGCGGGACAGTCGATGGAGGCCGTAAGTGTCATTTTCTCCACTGATTATTCTTGTTACTGCTAGAATTCTCACTGCCTAACTTGTCTCCGTTTCGCATAACGCTATTTACCGTATCGAGGGAGAGCACAAGACAGCGAAGCTTCTCGCAGAGAACCATTGCTTGCGGAAGCAGAATGGGCAGAAGGACGTCCTCACCGCCGAGCTTCAGGCCGAAAACCGTGCGTTGAAGAGCGACAAAAAGAGTCTCCTGGAGCAGCTGGAACAGCTCAAGGCCGAGTTGGCCGCTCTCACGGTTTCCTCGGCGGGCAAAGTTGGCGCCGACAACTCTGCCGCAAGAGCTGCGGGCTCCTCGAAGATGGAGAAAGGTGGAGCTGGCCCATCAGCCCCAGAGCCAGCTGCACCTACTCCAGAGATTGTCTACTTCGACAGTGTAGTGAGTCCGTGGCGTGACAGCACCACAGTGGCAGACGCATGGGCGCTGTGGAACAAGTCAAGTTTCCTTGTGGAAGGCCGAACACTGCGTGCAGTTGCAGAGGATCCTGGATTTATCGTTAAATGGGCACATTTCAAGAGGGGAGAGGAATGCGAGGACGAGAAAGGCAAGTTCAAGCCCACCGTGCGTCTGGCCGCCAAGGATGGCACATGTGAAAAGAAGCTGCGTCGCATCCACAAAGCTATGTTAGCGGTGGAGAAGTTCAGGGTGGACGACTCGTTGGAGGCGACGACCAATGCCGTGAACGTGCTCGACGAGGTGTTGTTCCAGACATCTCCCACGGTTTTCGCAGATGGGCTAATCGTTAAGGAGAAGAGGGGCACGAAGAGGCAGCGAACATCGACGGTTGGGGGGAATAGCCTCACGGACGATGCGCAAGAGAGGGTCTCGTACCTTCACGTGCTGAATGGTCTGCGCGACTACACGTGGGGGCAAGAACTCTTCGGCAAAGCCAAGTGGATGACGATCAAGGACGTTTAGTCTCAAAAGCCTTTGAAGAAAAGGACTGGGGCGTAACTTGGGGCATGGAATTATGGGTTATATTGAGGTGCTGCGGAATTTTTGTGCATGGGGTTTGCGTTTGCCACATGCGTAGACAAACATTTTAAAACTCTACGCGCAGACTCGTAGGACCTTTATATGACAGGGTATATCCTGACGTGAAAGCGTCCAGGCCAACCTGAAGGGTTTAGGGTGCTCTCTTCAACATTGTCGAGGTAGATGGGGTGCGTGTTGGTGGTTTGCTGTAAAAACTGGTGTTTTAGGCTGTTGCATGGTAGAGATGGACAGTTCCCTTCTGATCGGTCGAGAAACCGAACTGGTAAATGCGGAGATTTCCGGGCGAGCCGGCGTCGGACTCACACCTACTCTACGCGGTTTCTACTACCATTAAGTTCTACTTGGCAGACAAATAGGTTCTTTGCTTATGAGACGGTAGATTGTGGTTGATTAGTTTAGTGAGGGCGGGAGAACATATGACCATCGCATGCCGACGTATAGAGCGTAGAGATACGTTCATAAACTATACGCGCAAACACGGAGGATCTTATTATGCCACGGTTTTGTCCGACCTGACACCGTGCAGAGCAACCTGGTGTGAGGAGTGGTGCTCTCCTCACGATTATCGATGTAGATTATGTGCGTGTCACGTAAAAGATCGAAGAATACAACTTCGGACGAGATCGCATGGTAGAGTTCGTCAACCTAGTTAAGCTTGGTCGAGAAACCGACCTAGCAGATGCGTTGGAATCTCTTCGAAGTTGCATCGTACTCATAGCAACTTATCGCGGATTCGTCCACCAAAGGCTTTCAATGTGCAGACAACAATGTGTTCTCTTTATGGGACGGTAGATTAAAACTGTTTGAAAGAGAGTCATCCTCGCGTGCCTCGTTGGAGAGAACTGTTTACATCTGCAGGTGTGTGTTTTGTGGAGCTCCGTTGAATTTGGAGGGCCGCGACCATTACTACATTTTACGGGTATAAGTGTTCAGCAGCCCCAATCTACGGGTTGACATTTTCAGAGTGAGCACGTTTAGATATCTAAACTGGACAGAGCTTAGATGCGACTATCGTCAAATTGGTTCAGCTGGGTACTGCACTTAGCAACGGAAAATGTATGGAACACATAAAATTCTCATTAACCGGCAGATCAACAATTTCACTCTCTAAATACCCAACACCCGTCAATCAATCATCACCCTTCTCCCCCTTCTGCCTTGGCCCATGTCGCGTTGGCAGTATGGAAAGCGTTGCGCCCTGGTGGCGAGCCAGAGCCCTCGAAGCGAAGCCACACTGACACCAGTAGACCGTGACCCTTGCTGTCACCTTGGCGAGATTGGTCACTTCTACCTCATCCTTGGGTCTATTTAGGATCTCGAAAATCTTGCCCTCCAAGACAGCCGGCCATTCATTCTTTGTGAGTTGTCTGTCTGAGACCTGCTTCAATGCAACTATGCTGGTTCAGGCCGCTTCTGCCGCATGCTTCGACAGCTCCTCGTCGTTGACGATGCAGCTCGCGACGGCCACGGCGCCGGCTTTGTATTCTTCCTCTGGAGTACCAATCGAGGCACCCCATAAGGTGTACAGCGCTGATGCAACGCCAGCATCGTACACTGCAGGAGGGACTCTGTCTGGGGCTGGTTGCACACCCGTGCAGCCAAGCAGCATTGCCAATCCGATTCCTTCGCAGAGAGCGGTTTGCAATTCAGCACCCTTTGCCAGACGCCCGTTCATTTTCTTCAAGACGGCCTCGAAACTGTTGAGAGGGCAGTATCAACAACCAGCGTTTTGTGAGGACACCGTAAACGATCGAACAATGCGGAAATCAACATACGTCACTCACTTCTCAATTCGCGAAATGTGCAGCTCGTGGATAACGCTCCAGACCCCTGTCGGCAGTTGCTTGGCAAGGTTCAGATGGGCCGACCACGCTTGGACATCCTCCTTGTCCATGCCGTAAAAAAGCAGGTCCGCATCTGGAGTGTATGCCATCCAGCAGATGTCGATGCTGAAGTTCCTATTCCGCTCGCTGTCAAAATTTCCCAGATTTCTCTTGCACCCTCCAGCTGTCTGCTCGGAGCAGTACTTGCCTCCCGCTGTTGCCTTCTTCCGCTTGAAAAACCCGCCTGCTTTGTACGGCTTATCTTCCCCGTACACTTTACCCAGACCGTCTGCTACAACACAAGCCTTCCCTTTCTTGTTGGCTCCGTTCTCGTCCCCATCACTAGCGATCGCTTCATCTACTCCTGTCTCTGACTCGCTCTGGTCCGCCTCTCCGTCCCTCCGCCTTTTCACCCCCCGTGTACCCTCTGAATGTTCCGCCACTTGACGAAGCCTGTCTTCGCCGGAGGTTTCCATTGCCGGCTTTCCAGCACCATGAACATCCGGTTCCCGTTGCTGCATCAGTCGAAGTCGTGCGGCAGATAGTCGCGCCCTCTCCGACGCCAGTGCCCTCATACGCTCCGCAGCCCGAGTTCTCTCCTCCTCTTCCTTCGCTGCCAGACACTTCTCTTCCGCTTCCATGTCTGCTAGTTGAACGACCATATCTGCATTCTTCTTTTCTCCAGAAGACTCCTCCACCATCTCTGCCTCCTTGCCGTCCGAGCTCCCGTGTTCTTTCTCTTCCACCTCGTCGTATTCGCCTACTTTTTCCACGGTCTGCACGTCCTCTCCGACACCTTCAGCAGCCCCCTCCAAACCGGTGTGCACCACTGGTCCCCCCTTTACCACCTTCGCCCCCTCTCGCACCTTCCCCTTGCCCACACCTGTCTCTGGCTCTCCGTCTTCACCACCTTTTTTAACTTCCTTATCTACCGCCTCGACATCAGTGGTGACACCCAGATTCATGCCATGGATGTTAGTATGCTGCAGGGGTGTGGAAGGGGCGGCATCTGGAATTGAAGGCTGCGCCTCCAAAACAACTGTGGCCTTTGCTGGAGGCGAATGCAGCATGCTAGCCCCCCCGATTTCCACCTCTCGCCCCGTGTTTCGCTTTCGGTGCACAGCGGCCATTATCTCTTCCTTCAGCGTTTTTGCAAACTGCCGTTGATGTTCTGTGGTATCCGCCACCTGCTTCAGCTCCGCCCGCATGATCAATTCTTCTACGTACTGCTTTATGAACGGCTTCAAGGACCGTTGAAGCGCGTCAACATCGACACCGACCATCTCACCCCTCTCTCTCGACGCATCCGTAACCGCCGCGATCTCCGGCGGTCCACCCCTTCGGTCGTCGTCAGGAAGCTTCTTCAACTTTTTTGCAGATGACTCTCCGCCTTGATTGCGCGGCTCAATCTCCCTTTCAACATTACTTCCTGCCATCATCCGAGCCGCCGCATGCTCTCCTAACTGCACCTCTTGCGAACTCCCTTCCGCCTGTCTGCGCCGCTGCACCCTTAGCCTTTCGGCCTCTTGTAGAGCACCCTTCATGAACCCACACTCCGCGTCGTTGACGTGCTTAGTCCCCGCCCCACTGCTCTGCACAGGATCTGACGTACCCCCCATGGTCAACAGCGACACATTTGACGGGCCCGACTGGGTATGGCGCATCCTCAGCTTCCATGTGGGCAACAGCGTAGACGGTGCACGGACCCCTGTGTCGGCATGCGCCTCCGCGGCTTCCTCCTCTTCCTGGTCTTCCCCTGATGCCAGATCGCACGTAGAGTCTGATTCCGCGTCGTTGTCCAACTCTACCAGGTCGGCTACTAGCGCATCCGCGTGGCCCCCGAAATTATCGCGGCATGTCGTTATCAGCCAGGCCAGTATTTCCTCCTTCGAGTATGTTCCTTTTCCAAGACCAGGAAATGGTCGCCCACTCTGCACCGAAAGCACAAACTCCCAATTTTCCACCAGCTTCCCCCAGAAGTACGACACTAGTTGACCGGACCCAACGTCTTTGCGCCCAACCTGTGACGATACCTGTGAATTGGAAAACCACATGCACTGTGTTTAGTAGTGTATTCAGAATACCGTGCAATTTCGGTGAAACCAGAGTGTCAGAAGCTTACCGTGCATCGCTCGAGCGTCAAACTCGCCAGCCTGGTCCTGATCACGCGGAGCTCCTCATCCTCGGAAGTCAACGCAGTGTCTTGTGGACAACGTTCTACAAGGAGTTGCTCCTTCAGCCATCTGAAACCACAACAGTTTTAATCAGAAATGTCTATCTGCCGTATACTTAACGCAATGAAGTGGAAAAACACACTCACCCTAACACTTCTTCGGCGAAAGCAGCATGTGTGTGGGTAGGCACACCGGACTTGGGGTCGTAGTGCATGACGCGGGTGCGGAAGGGAGAGCCCGCAGATCCAAGTAGATCGTCTGGATGTAGAACTACCATCAAGCTTATTAATGCGGATGGCTTGAACGATACTCTGCACAAAACCGCATAAGCGTTAGAACATATGTGCTCGATACAAAACTTCAAAGCAGCGCAACCCTAACACAGGTCATTTACCGAGACCACAGGGGGATGACGATAGCCTGTTTACGGAGAAGACTGTGTTCTATGCCCTGACGCATCGGCTGACGCTGCGGTAGAGCCAAACTCGCCCTAACAGTCGACGCTGGCACTATTCGAATCTTTGATCGATGCTTACGAGTGAGAGAGTCCTGCACCTGCAGTCTGGGGGGGAAGGAAAAGTAGCTCGAAGAACATGTTGGTCCTCTATGTAGTAGGGGGCCGGAAATGCTTTGTAGAGCGGCAGCGATGATTTTCAATCATTTTACGCGATCGTCGTAAAGCCACGCTTTGGACCGTATCAGTATACTTACAAGATTGAGAAATCTAGCATGCTTTCGCTCCACTCCTCTTCCTTCGCGATAAAAGCTTGGTAAGCGTCATGCGTAATCTTGACGACTACCCCACAGCCTCGTATAATAAGAGGATCTGCCATTGCGTTCAGAGCTAAGCAGATCTACGCCACCGGTTAAATCTCGAAATTCCGTGCTGGTCTTCTATGCAGTGACTGAAAACAAACGAGAAAGGCTCCGATGCTAGAGATGAGAAGAAGTGAACGAGAAATGAAATGAATACGACCGAAGTGAGTACAAATAGGAAATCCTAATTGGGTTGTACCCCCTAAGGGATACCCCACTATAGCCTACACAAATAAGTAAGCTATAATGTTCTGACACACCCCCATAGGCAAAGTGGGGGAGAACAAGGGGTCACAAGACCAGTCAAGCAAAGCGAAGCAAAGTTCAGGGTGGATCACAAAGTCACCACACATTCCGAGCACAAGTTCAAAGGCCAGAAGGCCAGTTCACATGCGAGATCACATATAGAGATATACAAGAGTCAAGCAAGCAAGAGCAAGAGTATATATATGTGAAGGTACAAGCAAGGTCAAGAAGTGAGCAAGTGAGACAAGACATGCACAAGGCCCAGCTGCGTGCAGCAGCGCTGATGGTCACAAGGCGCAAGTGCCTTGGTGAAGACATCAGCAGTGTTGGCCTCAGAGGCCACGTACGCAGGTCGCAACTGTCCACGCTGCTGTAGTTCACGAGCAAGAAAGTAGCGGAGAGCAATGTGCTTCGTTCTGTGCTCCTGTCTCTGCTCTCGACACAAGGCCAGCATGGCCCTGTTGTCTACGTACAGGACTGGAGGAGAACGAGGCGGCTCTCCAAGGTCGGTCAGCAGGTAGGTGAGCCAGCAAAGCTCCTGGGCAGCCATAGCCCCGGCGTAGATCTCAGCCTCACAACTAGAGCCGAGAACAGAAGACGAGCGGGTAGCCCGCCACGAAACAGAGCCGGAACCAAGGCTGAAGGTGTAACCCTGTGACGACCGCTGCGTAGCCTGGTCGTCAGCCCAAGAAGCGTCCGCGTGCCCAGTGAGGACCACTGGACTGCGCCCTCCAAGCACTAGCCCCATGCCCGACGTACTGCACAAGTAGCGCAACACCCTCTTCGCTGTAGCCATGTGCTCTGGTCGGTGTCTCCCAGGAGCAACATAGCGTGCGAGAATGCTAAGAGGGTATGCAAGGTCAGGTCGTGTGCAGGTCATCAGGTACATGAGGCAGCCAACTAGCTCTGCATACGGGCCACTCGACTCTACGGACTCATCCGAAGGCAGAGCTGAGAGCGAGTGGCGAGTAGGCAGAGGAGTGGCCTGAGGCGAGGAGTACGTGAAGCCGAAGCGCTGAAGGACCTGCTGCACCATGTGTGACTAAGTCAGGGTAATGGTGCGGCGTGCTCTGTCCCGGGTGATCTGCAAGCCAAGGTAGCTGCGCAGTTCACCCAGGTCTGTACACGTGTGTCTCTTCTGCAGCTCGGACTTCACATAGACTTCTCTCCAGCAGTGTCAGCTGTGGCAAAGACCAAGTCCTCGACGTACACGAGGATGTAGAACGGCGGCAGAGAGGTGTCGGTGCGCAGAAACAGCGACGGGTCAGCAGTAGAAGGAGCAAACCCAAGAGCCGCAAGCGTCGTCCTCAGTGTGTCGTGCCACTGACGTGGCGCCTGGCGAAGACCGTAGACTGGCCGCTGGAGACTCCACTGGGTACCAGGAGGGAAAGACCCAGTGAAGCCAGGTGGGCGGCGCAGCCAGATCTCCTCGTGCAGGCTGCCCTGCAAGAAAGCAGTGCTGAAGTCGAGAGAGTGCAGCTCGTAGTCACGGTGAGCAGCAGCGTGCAGCAGTACCCAAAGAGTGGTCATCTTCGGGGTGGGGGAGAAGGTCTGAAAGTAGTCAACTCCCTGCCGCTGACTGAAGCCACGAGCCACGTAACGCGCCTTGAAGACAGGCGGAGAACCCGGCGGCCGCTTCACCCTGAAAATCCACATGCCACTGACGATGTTCGCCCCAGGAGGGGGAACAGCGTCAACGTAGGTGCCTGTGGACTTCCAGGAAGCCATCTCTGCATCCATAGCTGCCTGCCACTGAGAGGAGTAGGGACCCTCTATCGCCTCCGCGTAAGAGCGCGGAGTCGGGATGTCTAGTGCATCCGGGTCTCCCTCAGGGGTGAGCAGTACAGACGCGAGATGAGGTGAAGCAGCGGCCAGACACTGGAACTCCTCCTGCCTGTCCTCAAGGACGTCCGTGCCAAGGGCACACTCACCCCCGACGGATGGAGGATAGGCAGAGTCAGACTCAGCGACAAGACTAGCAGCGTAGTCTATACGACAGCGCGCAGCAAAGTCGACGAGCTCAGTGACAAGGGCAGACGCAGCAGAAGACTCGAAAGAAGGGTCAGTGACAGCAGTAGCAAGGAGACGCGTGACAGTAGGACTGGCAGCACGAAGAGAGTCCGACTCCGGGCCGGTAAGAGCAGGAAGAGAGGAAGCAGGAGGAGAAGGCAAAGGGGCACGCAGAGGAGCAGTGGACGGACGCAGAGACATCCGGTGCGTGCCAGGGACAGGAGGAGGACGCTGACGCGAATCGCGACCACTAGTGCGTGCAGCACGAACAGGCGACGCAGGACGAGACGCACGCTCACGACGCTCAGTAAGACCTCCAGTCGGACCAGCGTAGGGAGAAGGAGCAGGCAAAGGGGAGGCAGGCTGTAGCAGTGACTGTGACGGGACAGGCTGTGGACCCTCTAAGGAAGGAGGAGGAGGACCGGGAGAAGGTGGAAGACCAAGAACCTGCTGCAGGAGCGGAACGAAGTACGGTCGGGGCCGCGAGGCGACGCCAGAAACAGCAGGGACAGTACCAGTACCCCTAGCAGGAGGACCCACTCCAGCAGAACCTCCAGCAGCACCTCCAGCAGCACCTCCAGCAGCACCTCCAGCAGCACCAGAACCCCCAGCAGCACCTGAAGCACCACCAGGCAGAGCGCCAGCGGTAGTCTCAGCGCTAACACGCTCAGCAGCACCAGCTCCAGCAGAACCCGCAGGCCCAGCACCTCCAGTACTCCCAGGATGAGCACCTCTGGGACGCGCGGTAGCAGCACCCTCAGCAGCCGAAGAACCTCCAGCACCAGCAGCACGCCTCCAGCGCCGGGCAAACCACTCACGCAGCTCCTGTGGGGAGAGTGGCTCGCGGCGAGACGAAGCACCCGGAGAACCTCCAGGCGAAGAACCTCCAGGCTCAGCACCCCCAGGCAAAGCACCTCCAGGGGTAGCACCTCCAGTCTCAGCACCCCCAGGGTCAGCACCCCCAGGCTCAACACCCCCAGGCTCAGCACCCCCAGGCTCAGTACCCCCAGGCTCAGCACCCCCAAGCTCAGCACCCCCAGGCTCCGCACCCCCAGGCTCAGCAACCCCAAGCTCCGCACTCCCAGGCTCACCACCCCCAAGCTCCGCACCCCCAGGCTCAGCACCTCCAGCAGCACCCCCAGACACAGCACCCCGAGGCTCAGCACCCACAGCAGCACCAGAGTCACCAGTGACCTCGACAGGTTTGACCGCGTCTACCTGGGACACACCTGAAGGGGCAGGACCCTGAGGGGGAAGGGGGTCTACCGGGGGGGGACCTGGTACCAAGAAGAGCGGGGGTGGGGGTAGGGACGGAGTGCGGTAGGGGAAGAGGCGGTAGTAGGGTACCGACTCGTCAAACGTGACGTCCTGGGAGGACAGAACACGGCGAGAGGTGGGGTGGTAGAACCTCCACCCAGGGGCGTCGGGGGGGAACCCCAGGAAGTCGCAAGGAGCAGCGCGAGGGGACAGCTTGTCCGCAGACAAGTCGCGGACAAACGCCCGAGATCCCCAGACCCGGAACGCCGACGCATCGCCAACCTTCCCCGTCCACAGCAGAGCTGGGGAGGTCTCCGGCCTAGAGACCCTGGGGTGTAGGTTGATCTGATGCGCCGCGTACCTGACAGCAAACGGCCACAGAAAATGGGGAGCAGCCGCATGCATCATAGACGTACGAGCTACGTCCATGACCATGCCAATGCGGCGCTCTGCAATCCCATTTTGCTGCGGTGAGTCCGGAAGTGTGAAGGTCTGACGGATGCCTCGCGCACGACACTAGGCACGCAGAATGCCAGAGGAGAACTCTCCGCCTCTGTCCGAGTGCAGATGCAACACAGGAAAGTCCGAGCCAAAGCTCTGCCTGAGCTGGAGACGAGCTGCGCGGATCCAGTCGATCAGCACCTCAGTGACATCACCCTTGCTGCGCAAGGGGAAGACTGTGGTGTAACGTGAGTAGTAGTCAACCACCAACAGGAAGTAGCGCTCGTGACCAAGTCCACGGACGCGGGCAGGGCCCCACACGTCCATGTGAAGCGTCTGCAACGGAGCCTCTATCGGAGGAAACTGGGAGGAGTGAGGGGCAGCACGCTGGCGCCCCTCGACACAGGGGACACAAGTAGGGTCAGGGCCCTGAGGAAGGGCAGGGAGGAACCGGGGAAGGCCAGACACAAGAAGACGGGAGGCCATGCCTCTGAGCCGAAGCAGAGA